AAAATTTATTGCTATATCTATTTAAATTTTACATATTATTAATCAAAATATTGGCGACTTCGTTTCTCATAACTACTCCATCACGTTCATCCTGGGGCTCCTCTCCCTGCGCATTGTAATTATGATCATGATGAACAAGGCCTACATTTGGAAGTTCTTCATTTTCTGGGAAATCATCATTCTGTGCCAAATTATGAAGTACGCAGGCCGCTCTTATAAAATTAGCAATGTCGTGATCCCCTCTTAGTTTTAGGTGGTACAGCTGCCTAAATTTTTGTTTTAAGATGCCAAAGCAGTGTTCTATCACATAACGTGTTGCAGCTAACTTATTGTTGTAGTTTTGTTGGACCCTTGTTAAATTTCCAAAATCTTTGTATGGGGTTAACAAGTGTCTTAAGCAAGGGTAACCACTGTCGCCCAAAATATAATTGTTCCCACATTTTTCCTGCAGGGTTGTTGACAATAGGGATGCTCGAAACACTCTACTGTCATGCACAGATCCTGGAAAACCCACTGTGACATCCCTTATTTTCCGTCTGTGATCGCACACAACCTGCACCTAAAAATAAAATTTTATTTAATTTATTAGCTCTTTGTTGTCTAAGTTTAAATTAAAAATGCTTTTATTTCATTACATTAAAAAAAGTGGCTGATTGTGATGAGAGGTATACTCAATTTTTCCAAATATGACAAACACGAACATAAGAAATTCATGTTTTGCTATGCACTGTAGCTATTCCAGAGGATAAATACTAAAAAGAATCCTGAAGTTTTAGTATTTGTCTTAGAATGAAGCTACTGAAATACTTTTTATGTCACGTTACTTTCTTATTATGTTTAAATGTTATAAGATATACATAACATAATTTCAGTACTTAAGGCAACAAGGTAGGTGATACTTATAACACTCCAAAAAACTCACCTGCATAGAATAAAACCCCTTTCTATTTACATAGGAATCAGGGTCTTCAGACGGTTTATCAATTTTTATATGGGAACCATCTATCACCCCTATTACACCAGGAAACGCATTCTCTAAAAATTGCTGCTTTATGTAATTTTGTTCTTCATTGGTGGGCCATGTAATAATTTGTGGTGACAAATTACTCAAAAAGTACACCATTCTCTCAACTACTTTACGTAGCGTACTTATGGTTATATTAAATCTGTCAGCCACATCTCTGTATGAAGCTGCCTCGTGTCCAGCAAACCACAAAAATATAATTGTATAATCGGAGGCACTCAACTTTCCAAATTCTCCACTTTGGTGGAAAAAATGCTGAGAATTTCTGAAGCGTTCCTCTATGTCATTAGCCACCTCTCTGCTGACTCTAAAATGCTCCATAAATTGTGCATTACTGTACTGCGGAACTGTTTCCTCCAAATAGTTCTCATTCTTGGGCTTTGGTCGTTGATCGAACACCACAAATAGCTCTTCATCACTTGATGAACTCAATAAATCGTTTTCAAACATCTTAAAGAAAAAATCACAAATAATCTGTGTACCCTTGTGAACCTACATAAATAACCACTAAAACAAAAATTAAAACTTATTTCATACCTTTCTAATACGTCTAATTTCAGTTAATTTTTGCTCTGGATGTCTTATCAAGTTTTTATTAAATAAATCCCGAATCGCGGAAAACAACAAAATCTAATCACTAATAAGCCCCCAAAATTTATTGGTTATCTTTTCTTAGTAAACAAACCAAAGAAACCATGGAAATGGAAGGCTAGCGGATCAATTTCAACTGCGCATGTCTCCAACTTAAAATTTCTTATCCGTCAGCGAATTATTCTGACGGTTGCCAACCAGTTTCCAACCGCATATTTTCTTCCTACGAATGTCGGATTTTTGATCACTGATTTTTGGTTTGGCTTCTACGAACGCTTTTAACGAAACGCGCCTGCGCCGTACAGTTGCTGACGGTTTCTGACTGCTCTACGAACGAACCTATTATTACGAACATACACTTTTCTGCCAATCTACGAAAATACACGATGCATCCTGCACAAGTCGGGAATGTGCTTCGCGAGCTGTCTTTATCAGTTAGTACTAGAGTCGTCTCCCCCTCGCCATGTGCCCAGGCGCCACGAATTTGTTTATTTTGGCTAGCTTGAATATCTGCTTGTTTCGCTGCTAAAATGCAATCGCTTAGTGTTAGGTTTGCTTGCAGTTGGAGTCGTTCGCTAGTTCTTCTGTCTGACATTCCAACTACGATTCGGCCTCTAATTAGTTCTTCTTTGAGAATCCGGTATTGGCAATACTCTACCAGAGCAAGCAAATTTGCAATGAAAAATTGTAGGGGTTCTCCAGGTTGTTGGATTCTCGTATTGAATTTATAGCGCTCGAATATAATATTCCTTCGTGGGATAAAATGATTCAAATGCTTTTAGTAGACATAGATTTTTTATACTGTGCTTTTTCATTGACCAATAATGTTTTGTAGTACAATGAAGGATGGATGTCCCGCAAAGTTGTTTTTTTCTTATCAAATGACCGGAACAGTCTAAATTTAGTGCAGATGGATACAAATCACAACCATACAATTTCTAAAGAGATTTATAATAGTTTGCCCAAGAAAAGGAAATTATCAGAGGAGGATGAGAAGGAAGTTTGTCATTTACTCTCCATTGGCTGCAATAATAAAATAGTAAAGGATTACATTCAAAAAAAGACTGGCAAAGAAATTATTTTACGAGATATAACAAGTTTAAAATATAAAATGGATAAACGAAAATCAAAATCGGGCAGTACAAGTGTTTCAGATCTGGAAAGTGTAATTAATATGTTAAAGAAACCTAATACAATAGTTGAGGTTGTAACAAATATTGAAAATGAATTAATAGGAATTTTTTACCAAGACTATTATATGATGCAATATTATGCTAAGTACCCTGAAATTTTATTGTGTGACGCGACTTACAAGCTAAACAACTTAAGAATGCCACTGTATTTACTTGTGGTTATAGATGGTAACGGACACTGCGAAATTGTTGGTTCTTTTTTGCTGGCAGATGAAGGATCGGAGGCTATTAAAAAAATGATAATTATTTTTAAAAACAATAATCCTTCGTGGAATTTAACACATTCGATTTTAACTGACAAAGATTTTGGAGAGAGGCGTGTTACTTTGCCTCTTCCATGTGTTAAAAACTTTTAAAACGAAAATAACAGTTGAAACTATGAATATTACTTCCAGTCAAAGGCTGCTTGTTCTAGAAATTCTCCAGAAAATAGCGTATTCGGAAAACGACACCCAGTACAACACTAATTATGAATCATTAAAAGAACTAGGTTTTCCTAAGGTTCTGAAATATTATGAAGAAAACTGGCATACCATTCGTCATGAGTGGGTTCAAGGATTTAAAAAACAATCTGTAACTTTTAATACTAGTACTACAAACCACTTAGAAAATTTAAATCAAAAAATCAAACAAGTATGTCTTAGATATAGTAATATATATCGGTTTTACCAAGATTTTTTAACTGAAATAGATGTAATAAGACACGAACAAAGTCATATCCGGTGAATGGTATCTATTCGAAGGCCAGTTACAAATTATAACAAGGGTTCAGTTTTAGATTCTTACTCAAGATACATAACAACAGCAGCATTTAAGGCTATTGAAACTCAATATTTAAGCTGTGATGTAATACAGTTTTTGGATTTAAACATTCCCGACTACTTTGAATTTTTATTACATGGCGAAACTATTAAAACAAAATCGGATGAATGTGGCTGTAACTTTTATACAGACAGAAAGCTACCATGCAAGCGCATTTTTGCTTATCGAAAAATTAGGAAAATGATGATGAAACGCTTGTACATCAGAAATACTTAGATTAGAGATTAGATTTAATTAGGACTATGGGCCATGTGGCCTCCCCCACCTCGACCTTTTCAGATCTATTGTGGATATCCTTTAATCATTGTTTAGAGTACCTTGTCTAATTGTAGGTACTATTTGTAGCAATGAAATAATAGATGACATACATAATTCCATATGTTGTGATGTTTGTCTCAAATGGTTGCATTTTAAATGCACTGCAGCAAAAAAAGGACAAACAAAAAAATATTCAAAAAAATATTTTTGTATTGAATGTTATAGAATATAGATTTTTTGTTTTATTTTTATATTGTTTACATTGTTGTAAAACAAATACTTACCCACATTTGTTGCAATAAATAGTTTTTTTTTTCGTTTTATATTAATTTTCTTGCAAAAACTTTAAATATAATCTTATTTTGTACAGTAGGTACCGGTACCGAAGCACTGTCTACTATTAGAGTACTTTTTTGTGAATATTTTTAATTTGCATATGGCATTAGTTTTTATTTAATTACATTTTTATTTAAGGAGGTCCTTTCGCCACACCTCTCGCCTCAAATGTTAAAAAAAAAGTTATTAGATTATGACTAAAATTAATTTTTTTCTAATAGTTGAAGTCCTTATTTATCTAATACTGAACTTTTAACTATACCTTACCTTGCAAATTTTTGAGATTTTTTTTTAAATGTGAGTATTTTCAAGTAACCTAGTTGAAAATTTTTTGTGATTTTTTAATAATAATTTCTCAATAAATTCCACGGTAACCTATATATTTTATTGTAAAAAACAAAACCTAAATATTTCAAAAACCTTATTTTTAGTTTTTTTCTACTCCATCTAATCAATAAATAATAGTAAAATTAATTATAATTCGAAAATTGTTGTTGAAGTCTTACTTTCTCATAAGACACTGTACAAACACACACATTTTTAAAAAAAAATTTTCTCAAAAATTTTCACGGTAAGGTATAGTTAAAAGTTCACTATTAGATAAATAAGGACATCTACTATTAGAAAAAAATTAATTTTAGTCATAATCTAATATTTTTTATTTAACATTGGTGGCGAAAGGACCTCCTTAATTAGTGTTGTTTTTCATTTGGCAGTATTGTTTCCATAATTTTAGATTTATTTAATTATAAATTAAAGAACTATTTTCTGTGCTTCTAAACTATACCTATAAGTTCGGAACTCTTGTCAGTTCGTATCGGTTCCGACCGTTCGGAATTCTTGTGTCTTTGTACCGATTTCGACCGTTCGGAACTCTTGTCTCTTTGTACCGATTCCGACCGTTCGGAACTCTTGTCACTCCCTTTAAATTATTGTATAATGTGTTTTGTATTCATATGTATGTTTTTTAGTTTAATAAATGCAACGGTGAGAATTGCAATAAAAAAACGCAATCACCTGTTGTTGAAATTGAAATTTTTGGTTTATTTTTTAATGCATTACTCGATACAGGGAGTGAAGTTTGTGCCCTTAACGAGGAAGTTTGGGGGATGTTAGAACCGTTCGGTAGTGGAATTCCTACCTTTACGTGTACGGGAATTAAAGTAACGGGGGCATTCAAAACCAAAGAAAGAAGAGTTCGATATCAATCTTTAATTAGTTTTAAGATTGCAGGGCACGATTTTTGTCATGAATTTTTAGTTATACTGGATTTATCAGTTCAAGTGATTTTGGGAATTTATTTTTTTAGAAGTGTTCCATCAAAAATTGATATTGAGCTCAATGTTTGTGATAAAAACAAAAAACGCATGGGTAGAAATTCCGGAAGTAGATCCTGGTTGCGAATATGATAATCTAGATTCTTGTAAAATCAAAAATTTAACTATAAAGAATCAGCCACTTGGTGTGGCCGAAATACAAAAAACATTTCAGGACACTGGCACTGTAATTGCTCAGGGCATTGAAGGGGACAACAAAATTTACGGTCTACACGGATAATCACTCAATTACATTTTTAAAGACATGCAGGCTCTTATAGTCTAGAATATCGCGATATGCATTGGCCATTCAAGATTTTAACTTCGAAATTAAGTATATTTCTAGTTCTCGGAATTTGATATCAGATGCATTAAGTCTGTACACGGCACCTCGACTACCGTCACCAAACGAAAATTGTTTTAAAATTTTGCCTTTAGCTAAATTGCCAAATGAATTAGTGGCGCTGTTAAAAAGTATAGATCGGTTTCAGAAGGACGATGAAAAATTGGGCGAAATTATTAGGAAATTGCCGTACCAAGAAAAGCTTCAGAGGCGCTTTGTAATTTCGAACAATTTTTTGTACATTAGGGGTGGTAATGAAGAATTTTATTTATTATGTATACCGAAACAATTCGCGGAGAAATTTAGTATGGCATACCACGAAATTTATGGTCATTTTGGGGCATACAAAACATGGAAAGCTTTGAAATCAGAAATATGGTGGAATAATATGTTTAAGGATGTCAAAAAGGTATGCAAAGTGTGCGATATATGTCAAAAGGCAAAGGCCGCAATAATGCCGAAACCTGAACTGAATGCCATAATTCCGTCGAAAAAGAATGAAATTCTTGCCCTGGATTTATATGGGCCACTACCAAAAAGTAGGGATGGAGTTGAATATGTTTTAGTTTTACTGGACGTATTCAGCAAATACGTTACTTTCTATGCGCTTAAGAAAGCAACTACTAGAGCCATATTAAACAGATTGATTTCAGGGTACTTTCAAGCCATGGGAATTGTGGAGACAGTGTTAAATAATCACGGGACACAGTTTACGGCAAAAAAATGGACCGAAACGTTAAATGAGATAGGAGTAAGGGTAACATTTTCTTCAGTTCGGCATCCGCAAGGAAATCCGGCGAAACGAGTAATGCGCGAACTAGGTAGGTTAGTGAGGACTTACTGTACCGACAATCATAAAAAGTGGGCAAATGAACTATCAAGTTTTGCAGATTTGCTTAATTCGGTATGTCACGAATCCACCGGTTACAGTCCAAACGAGTTGCATTTGGGACTTGTTTTTATCAGGGACCCCCAAACAATGAATTGCATAAGATCAATGCAGCAGAAAAATTAATTCTAGCCAAGGAAATGCTTATGGGAAAGGCTGAACGCAGAAAGATCTCTCACCCAAGTAGGCCGTATAAACCGTTTAAAGTTGGGGACTTAGTTTTATTAAAGGCAAATAATACATCTTCACTGATAAGAGCTGAAACAAAAAAATTCTTGTTGTTATTTGAGGGACCGTATAGGATTAAAAAGGTTATTACTCCAGTTACATATCTTTTAGAGTACCGTGATAATAACAGGGAGCGAGGAACATTTCATGTCTGCCATCTAAAACCATTTTATGAATAATCTTTCAGTTGAACATTTTTCCAATAAATGTTGGTTATTGGAAAATAAGTTCAGAATTCAGGGGGAACAAGTTGTAGCAAAATTCCCTAGTTAGTTACTGGGTTACCAAAAATTAATCATATCCATGTCAACCAATAAATAATCAAAGTTGAACTAAAACCCTGTGGGGAATTTTGAATTTTGTGATTTATTACATATATTCATTGTCCCTGGTATGTATTTTAAATTATTGTATAATGTGTTTTGTATTCATATGTATGTTTTTTAGTTTAATAAATTCGTCAACACACTAACCTGGGTTTAAAATTTCCATAAACGCTCTAAGATCGATAGTCTCCGAACCCCTTATCTTGTTACAAGTTACATAAACCTTTATTCTCGTTAGCTCGAAATAAAGCAACTGTCCCTTGAAGGTCGGTTCCTGCCACCGATAAGAACGTACATAATTGCCAAGAGAATGGCAGAATCAGACCTAACATTTCGTAAACAATAATTTATACTTGTTGAATCGGTTTGTTGGATTATATTCGTTGGATATCGAGTGTCAAAATAATTGGGGTTTTATTTATAGTTGTGAGCGACTGCTAGGCAGCTGTCAGATCATAGATAAGTACTACGGAAAATACTTACCGCAATGGTAAAATCGTTTGCAGTTCATTGGGTATATTTTAACGTTTCGTTTGTTTAGGATTTCTATTGGGTAATACAGGGGCATCAGCATGATACTGTTGGTTTTATTTTCGCAGTCGTGAAAGCTCATTGGTAGCACAGGAGTGCCATTCGTGAATCGTATTTGTTCGAGAATGAAAGAGGTTTTATGTACGGCGATTCTGCGAGATCGAGGTCTCGGCTTTGAGTTGGAGAAAAACGAAACGACACGTGGGCTTTTTCTGAGAAAAGGTCGTAATGGTGGTTTAAATTAAAAGTTCGTCAAAAGATGTTAGAAAAGTAACTCAATATTTTAAGCACTAATAGAAAAGTTGAATCTAGTTAAAGTGGAAATAAGCCCGTTATTTTTGTAATTGTAAAGTGCCGGCCTCTTAACTCGTATTTGAGGATGAATTTGAAGTTCAGCTCATTGCTAGATGTAGAAGCAGTCTCATATTAAAGGCCGATCGTAGTTCACACCGTATATTGAAGGGTACACTGGTTTTAAGAAGGTTTTAGCAGACTTCTCTGCATTTTTGATTAAAGTTACACCCTCTGGGCTAAGAGGTAGATTTTATTCTTTTTTTTTGTGTAGTTTATCATGTAAATATTGCTATTCATTTATTGTTAATAATAGACGTTCTTTTAGATAGTAAATTAGAGGGTTGAATATGAAGTACAGTTTTTGCTGTATTAAATTTTGCTAATTAAATTTTAATTGGGTACTTTTGTTGTATTGCTTGAATAGTCCTTGCTCTGGCAGGCACTAACTTCAACCCTCTGGGTGGTTCAAGATTTCACCTTTCCTTTTTATTGACTTTAATTAAAAGGTAACTGGGTGGGATCAAATTAAGTTTCACCATTCTGAATAGGGGTTGTACATTTTAGGGTTTTTGGGCCCGGTGTTTGGAACCAGTGTTTCGATTTGATACTAAAAATACTATTTGATACCAGTATCTCGACTGGGAATTGATGTTACTGCTTAGAACAGTGGTTTTTCTTCTACTACTGATGGTCAGTTCTCTGGGGTTTGGAACGCCTCGTCTACATTGCTGTTACTTCAGAGATTTGGCATCGTATGACTACAGTGCCACAGGCGACATATTTTGCCTGTCGACATCACGGACTAGGAGATAAGTGAAACTAGATTTTATTTTTACTACTGTGGGGTATATTTTTGAGGTAACATTTGGCCTACGACTGATATGTAGATGTATATGTATATTTCATCATCTTATAAGAAATTAAATTGATAATATTAGGTATATCTCATGCTAGCTCATGTGCTATTAATATCCCATGACGTTTTTTTTTAAATTTTAGTATAGTTTATATAACGTTAAGGGGATTGTGTATTTTACCTTAAGATGATGTTTATTAAATTGAAGTTATTGATGCTATTATTTTAGATTATAAGTTTCTGGGTATTTAAATCTGTTTATACAAAAACTAAAGAATTTCTATGACTAGTTGCGGTTAACTGTTCTTTTAATCGCGCCTGACATGTCTTTCGCCTTGGATCCAACACTAATGACCGTGAGGTATTAACTGATCATTTTACTGAGATTCATTGAACCAACTCTGTTTAGTTTCTGTACACTGCTAAGGCTTTACATATATTGTTTAAGAATTTTGGGGTTATTACAGGCATGTAAGTAGGACAGTGTATTCATTTTTGATACGAATTATATTATGGGAGGGCCATTATTAATACAGAGATTGTGAGGGTCATTAACTCAGGGTAAGCGAAAAGACAAAATGTTTTCCGATTTGTAAACTAAACAAGATCTAAGTTAAGGTTAACTTTTTATTTTCTATTTAATTGGTAGATTTAAAAGTAGGACTTTCCTGGATTTAAAGAGGCTCAAAATTAAAGATCTACCTGGCATCCAACTCAACATCAAAAATATTGTTTTTCCCAGATTACAAAGTAATCACCCACTTCTATCTCCACTAGAGTGAACCGGAGCCACAAGGTTGACATCTGGGACAACCGAACTTTTGTGTCACGTTAATATGACGTTACACTTGGCCCCACTTTAGGCTTCAATAACTCTTTAGGGATACAAATTGGTATAGAGGTAAATTGCGTTAAATTATCATATTTTGGGGTGCCAAACACGCATCTGTTCTGTGTCAATACTTATGAAGAACACCCTGTATAATCAAAAAATAGTTAAACAACTTTTTATCTAACGATCTTGCTGCTTACGGATCCCATGATTCTAAGATACAATTTGTAATGAACTGCGGATTTATTAACATTACAGACTTTTAATCTAATATTGACATTTGTGAAGACAACTGAAGACAATTGGAATCAAACCATCAAGAAGCTGATATTAGAATTCTACTTCACGGACTCTGCTAAAAGTGAAGGGTTTTCTACATGCTTTATTGACTCTAACGACAGGTTATAGATCTCATAATTTTATGCAAAAAGGTTCATAATAACAATGTTTCGATCTCGATCAGTTGCAAAGTTACAGGTGGTTAAAAATTTACAGAAATATATTTTCAGTCGCACGCCACTAAAGAAATTTTATTTTTTTTTTATTTTTTAATTAGTTTTCTGACTTTTGGTCGAATTTTGATCAATGTTAACGTAAATTTAAATTAAAGAAAAATTTTAACCACCTGTAACCCCGCTACTAATCAAGATTGGACCCTTGTTAATATGAACTTTTTTGCCTAAAATTATGAGACCTATAAACTGCTTTAGTTGGATCCGTACAAATGATAAATTTGGTAACATTGTTATAAGTAATTTGACCCATCGATTCCAGAAAACATAAAATATATTTAATATAAAAAACCAAACTTAGTGGCATTTTCGGTAAAATCGAAAGTTGGCCATTTTTTAGGTTCAAAATTATCTCTAGAATGTGTGTTCCAAATTTAATCCAAATGGTCTGATAAATAAAAGAGATAATAACGTGACACTCACCCGGTATAATGAAAACCGCGTATAAGTTTCACTTCAAAGTAGTAGAAAATGATTTTAGGGATGGCAAAGTCCGTAATAAAAAAAGCAGTGGTTTTAGCCGAAGAAAAAAGTTCCAATAATTTCTTAATTTACAAAAAAGATGGCAAAATCCGCAATGGAAAAAAAGATGGATTTTTTTTATCTGCGAGATCCTAGTGTTAAACTTTGCTAGACATATTGCACGCAATCATTTATCAGAAGTTGACGTTCAAAAGATATTGTCTAACGCCCCTGATAGAAAGAAAGAAAATGGGTATTGGATCTTTTAGGAAAAAAAGGAAACTTTTTAGATAGTAACGTAGCCCATAAACCAGTTCAAAGTTTGCGTTTGGCAAAAGATGTTTTGCCCTGCAATAATTGCCTTGGTTTTTATTCTGCAAAATTGTTATAGAAGTATAGAAATAAATGTACCAATACAAAGAGCAAAAATCATCAAGGAGCAGCTTATCTAATTTAAGAATAGACTAAAATTTAAAAAATACTGTTTTTCCAAGGATGATAGCGGATGAAATTTCTCTCGTTGCAAAAATGACCCAATTATTTGTGCACATGAGGCCAGATATATTATAGTTCACAGAAAAACATTTTATTAATGTGGCATCTAGAAAAATGCGAAACTCAGAAAAATTAAATTGACTATTAAAAGCAAAATACAACGTAGAAAGATAAATATGATTCTCCAACCTACGCAATGAATATGGACACTTATCTAAAGCAGTGCCCTGAAAAAGCCATTGTATTTGCTTTAAAATGAAAGGAAATCGCTGAAACAGTTGGATCTGCTAAATCAGAGGCATATTTGAAAACTTTAATTAAAATTATTGAATCACAATGGCAATATGAGATCTCGACCCAGGCTGCCAATGACCTCAACACAAAAAAATGGAACAAAATTACGCTCGTGACCCTTGCTAGTGACTTAAAATTACTCAAATAATTTTTAATTTCGAAAGCTAGTTTAACAATTACTTGGAGAGTATTTTTTGCCGTATTCTGTTATTAAACCGAAGACGTCCAGGTGAACTGCAAAGATTAATGCTGGATATCTATGAAATTTCGGAAAACAGCAACTCCTCAAACTATGAAGAATTCTTAAAAGTGGTATCACTAACCGAAAAGATTCTTCTTAAAAGTTTTAAGAGGATTGTAATAAGGGGTAAAAGAAGACGTGGCGTTTCAGTACTCTTTAGGCCAGATGTTCAAGATCACATGAAAGTAATATTGAATCATCGAAAAAAACCTTTTCCTATTGATACGGTTTCAAAAATCATTCAGTTCGGTACTATTTTGAAGGAGTGAAAATAGTCGAACGCATCTTTAAAATAATTTAATTAGTTGGCACTCCCTGGAATCTTCAACTTCCGGTGGACATGTGTTGTGCATCTAGGATAGGTAACACCCAGTTTTTTTAATTCGCTAATTATTAGGAAATATTCTATAGTAATGAAGTATGGTATTATAGTCGTTAAGAATCATTGTTGATTCACTGGGTCATTTAGAGAATACCTCTTAAAAAAAGAAATTAATGTACTGATTTATTTTTATTGTGTGTTAGCGATTTCTTTGCTTACTTTTTATTTGGGACATTGATGAAAATGTCAACTCGCATAAGTACGAGGTGGAAAATGGAATCAAATACTTCAAAGCCTCAGTTGTCAATTCCGGGTATTCTGTTTTTCTCCTTAACCAAAAGGTATCCAAATTAACAGATTGAATTCCAAGTGTAACATTCCATCGGCAGATAATTTTAGCAGATTCTCTTTGAGCTTAGTTGGCAAATTAACCTCATTATAGCTGCATTTAAAAACGGATTAAAGATTCACCTCTGCCCAGTGTTCTCCGATGTCTCTTGCACTGAGAAGTAACGACACAATTCTTTTTTCAAATTATCTAACACCATTTTCATACCAGGTATATATGCCTTGATGCTTATCTCACATCCGACTTCTTCAGTAACAGATTGTGTCGACGAAAATAAATCGAAGTTATTTTGATTTATAGAACGACAACAAGTCAATTTTTTTTCTAAAGCCATGTATCTCACATCCATTTTCCAAGGTAAAATTGGCGGAAAGAGATTGAAAAAGACAATTTATGAAACGTAATCGTCTTTCACTAGAAAAACCAGTGTAGCTCTAGGACAATGGAGCAGTTATCACAATATTTTCAAAATTTAAAAACTGTCCTTGAATATGGATGAAAGTGGTTTTCAGACTATCCCAAATAAATTGCCTAAACATGTAGCTCCCACTGGAAAAAGAGAAGTAGCTAAAAATGTGGCTGCTGAGCAGGGAAAAACTGTGATAGTTACATGTTTTATGAGTGCTACGGGGGTACATAGTGTCCCATGTACCCCCGTTTTTTATTTTTGCACGCAAATGATTAAATCCTCTATTCATAAAGGCTCCAACTGGTTCTGCCTTAGCTGTAACAGATTCTGGCTAAATGAATTCACTAAAATTCCTCAATTATTTAAAGCACTTTCGCAAGCATACGAATCCTTCAACTGATAGTCTTTTTCTGCTAATATTTGATAATCACATTTCTTATACCATACGCAAAAGGAACAATGTACATTTATTTAGTCTTTCACCACAGAGCAGCCACCGCACACAGCCATTGGATAGACCACTTAAAGCTTATGACGATTTGTTTGATAACTGGACTACATCAAACCCTGGACAAGTAGTGACAGAATACCACGTTGCTGGATTATTCAAGCAAGACTACCAAAAAACAGCTACCATCGAAAAAGCTGTTAAAGGATTTAAGATGACTGCCATATACCCTCTAGATGAAAATATTTTTACCGAGGACGATTTTCTACCTGCGTCGGTAACAGACCAGGAAAGAGAAATAGAAGATGATGTAGATATCAATGATGAGGACATGCACAGAGAAATTGTATTTGAAGAAGACGTACAACCTTAAAGCGATAACGTAGCAGAACATTTTGGCAATGCTGGAAAATTCCTAGATGAAGATGATGTTTCAAATGCTCTGAAATCTCCAAAAGCCAAATGTGTGCAAGAAGACGATCCCCAAAAACCTGGTTGTTCAAACGAAATCCCTGAACAGTTTTCTGTAACATTACCGTCAGATATCGTTCCTCTGCCATTACTTACTAAAAAGAGAAAACGAACAAGAAAAGGATTGAAATATACTATCCTTACCTCAACACCTAATTAGGAACAACTGGAAATACTAGAACAGGAGAAACGAAGAAAAATCAAAATGAAAAAAAGAAAGGAAACCATTAGAAGAAATAAAACAACGGTGAGAAATGTTTTTGAAGAAGAATCAAAATCAATCGTCCTCTGACTCAGATATTCAAATGACCCTTCGTGATAGCAACAGCGATAAGAATTACTACGAAAGTGATTCCGAATTAAATAGTGGGTCATCTGGGCTAAACGTAGGGAAGTTCGCTGTAGTAAAAGTTTCTGAAAAAACAAAAGACTCATTCCGACTCTACGTAATTCGGATAACTGCAACAGAAGATGATGACTGCCATCGAATTTTTTACAAAAGGGCACCTAACAAAATGCACTTTTCAGAGACAGAGGAAGAGTTTTATGTAAATAAAACCGACATTGTAAGGAAACTTTCCAAGCCATTGCAAGGTAGTTCTACAAGATTTAAGAACTTTGTTAGTTTTTCTACAGATTTAAGCGATTTAAAGTTGCATTAGTTTAATTGTTACAAAACGTTACAAAATCTACAAACTACTTTAAATACACTAATTAAAATATTATTTAAAAATGAATATATTAATATTATATTTTTAGAATTTCCCCAAAGAATTTGTTAAATTTTTTTTATTTTTTTTCAATATTGCTAAATATATATTTAAGTTTTTTGTTAAAATACATGTTTTTATATTTATTGTGGTTGGTTATTATTTATTTATAAACGTATTTATTCAAACGGGACAAAGATCAGCTTGCGGATTTTTGCCTCACTAAATGGGGCAAAGAACCCGTTTGGCCATATTTAGGTTTATATTCCTGAATTCTTTTAAAACAAGTATTTCGTCTTAATTTCATATATAAAGGTACATGCATGAACATACAAAACATATCGACACATTTTAAGCACATTATAAAAATGGATAGGGTCCAAAATATGACAAATACTAAAAGAATGGATTTTTGCCCCCAACTACCCTACCTTACATTTTTAAAATTTTTGTTATATATTTTCTTAATTTGATTTTAGATATACCAAATATAACAAATAAATGTAATGTTCTTATATTTATTCAAGAGATATATTTTTCTTGTTGAATATTTACAAAAATAAATTAGATTAAAGGTAATAGGTAGTTAAAACTTGTACATTATTGAAAACAATCCTTATTAGACGTAAAGTACCTATCCTTATCTTACACATTTTCCACATCAACAAAAAATCAGCTACCGGGAAACTGATGGCCCATTGCCGCAATTGATGGGGATATGACCATATTTTGTAACTGTTATTGGCTCTTTTTAGGCAAAAGTTAAAAGGCCATTATTATAATTATTGAAGGCAGACAGTTATTAGGCCATTATTTTCCCATACAAATAATTTGCGGAACATTCTTCATTATTGCCTTTTTGTAAATAGCTATTTAGCCAATTAGGCGGCAATGCCAAATTCGTTTAATTTGCGTAACAACGGCGATCGATGTGATGATCTGTCAAGACGAAACGAAAGTGACCCTAAACTTTGTTAAAACCAAATTTTTAATGATAGAGCCTAGACAGATGAACATAACTCAAGGAACCAAAAGTGATACCAATTTGGAACATGTTTTTGCAGCACATTCAAAGATTCAATTGCTGCAACTGTAGTCCTCTAGGCCACACACGGTCAGAATGTTCGAATGCTCAACGAAAAAAGGGCAGTATGTAGTTCAAATCGCAATGTGGGTGTAACCGAAGAAAAAGTGGCCGAGGAAGAAGAAGCATTTTCATTTATAATTAGCCCTCAATATACAACCTGAAGACTTCAGAATTTATTTTAAACAAAAAGTTAATGCCAACTGGCAATAGCAATGGAATGAACATTAAGGTGGCAGTTTAATTGCATTTAATTTTATTTCTAAATGAATTTGAAAGCTATAAAAGATGAAGACTCAAGATTTGGTAGACATTTTTTAAATAAATCAGAGCAGTTGCTGACGTTAATATCAATGATGCAACTTAAAAAAAAAAAAAAAGTTTAAACAATTATAAAAACAAATATATAATTTTTTTACGGAGACAAGCAAATAGTCTATTAAAAACCAATTACAATTACGTTCAAATCAATTCTCTAATTGATGTAATGAATAACAAAATTGAGAAATAAAATACAAGCCAAAATTTCAATTAATATACGCGGTAATACCATTGTCTAACTTCTTTATCGATGATTTTAGTTCATGTATTCGTTTATAGAGCCAGCCGACTTGTTTCCATGGCGATTTAAAACATTCTATTCGGAATATAGTTTTGATCATTTAAAGCCAAACGGAAGACGAAATCTGTACCTATTCAAGAGTACCTGTAATTAAAATAATGGCAACATTGAAAAATCACTTTGCACTGAACTACATCGTATTTTAGATTTTCTTGTTTTATTTCATGAAGCTGTAAAGTCATTTGGTATAATTTTCTTAACTGTTACAATTACTATTTAGGATTAGAATTTGTATTTAAAGCGACTAACTTTTTTTGATATAAAATATCATTTGATCCATTTAAAAAAATATTAATGACGTCATAGTTTCGTGAAATAGATAACACACTGCATATATGGCTTAAATGGCATAAATGGAGCTGTAAAGTCATTTGGTATAATTTTCCTAAAAATTGTTCGAGAAAAATTACAATTATTATTAATTAGGATTTGCATTTAAAGGGACTAATTTTATTATTATAAAATATCAATTTTTCCATTTAAAAAAATATTACTGACGTCATAGTTTCGTGAAATAGATAACACACTGCATAAATGGCTTTAAACGAAGAATTTACTTACGATTCAAACAATAGCTGCTAGCGAGCAGGACTCTTATATCTAATGGGGGTTTCGAAATAGTCTTTCTTTCATCTTGGACGCTATTTTTACTCGAAATAGTAGTCGCCAAAAATGTCACCGTATGAAAAATACTTTTTTTAATAATATTTGAATTGTGTTCAACACAAAATATTTAAATTTAATACCTTATTCATGATTTTAGGTATTGTAGATAGAATACATCGTATGTCGCAACTTTCTAAATATACCACCAACAAGTTCTTTTGTTTTGAATGCCTAAATCCTTATTAAGCGTAAAAACCGTGTCAACGAATGTCAACAAAGGGATTTAGTTGGCGCGGCATAGACGGTTTAGCGAATACCAACGGGGTTAATTTTTGAATAATTCGCCACCCTGACGTATGCGAAAACGTATACTTTTACCTAAACTGTATTTTTGACTTACTCGATTCGTCTTCGCGTGCGAAATTGACGTCACTTGCGAATAGGCATTTAATAGGTTTTGCAATGACATGACGTTTATTCATCTCGGTAAAGCAGTTTCATACTAGGTTTCTATTGGTAGATCATCGAATTTTGCTGAAATAATCTACAACTCTTCGTTAGGTTGATCTGTTCGCAAAATATTTATCGAACAGAATTTAAAAATATACTTTCCTTGACGCATGCGATAAATGTCATATGCCAATTGACGCATACTACTTTTAGCGAATGGTTTCAAAAATTAACCCCCTGGCGTTTGCCGACTAGAGGAATCGTAGAGGTAACATAAAAGGTTTGGGCGACTCGAGCGAACGAAATGTGGACAGATGCCCATACGAATATCATACCATAATAAACATTTAATCCGGATACATGCCCAAACGAACGTTTGATCGAGCAACAAATGCATGTATATTGTATATTAACGACGCCCAAATTTGATTTAGTTAAAAAGATTAGCAAAATTACGATAATTTTAACAATTTTTTTTATGTTCAGACAAACTAAATGAAATTTTTTAGAAAAAGGTTTCAGCGTAACATAGATTTAACCTAACAGGTACATAGGTATTTTTTTCTTTTACAATTCATTGACAAATGTGAATACAAGACACATTGTGAACATCAGACAAATATGAATATAAAACTTAGAAAAACTAGAATAAAATATAAAAAATTATTACACCGAGAGCTGAATCTACATGACTTCTGATTTGAAAAGTCAACGCCTTATCCACAAATCACATTCGCTAGATGCATTTGTTTGCGATACTGTATAATAACTATGCGAAAGCCAAAGTAGAACGAGTTTAGTGGTATGTGCAACAAGAGTTCACATGGACAATCCACTCGAAGTGTACAGTATATTTTTTCTACGACTTACTAACGAAAATCTACAAATTTAAAAAAACTATTTTAGGTTTTTAAGACAAAATAACTAATTTTAAAATAATTTATGACTTTAACTAATTTATGAAATAAAATAAACATGAAAAAAAGATTTAATTTAATTAATCCCCAGCTGAGATTTGAACCCAAACCTCTCGCTTGGAAGACGCTGTGTCCTCACCTCATCGCCACACTTACGATTTTAGTTTTAATACTTTTAATTAAATTATTTTTATATAGTTCGATTAAAATTTAAATGTAAATGTAGACAAAAGAAATGCTATTATTTATCGATTCTACACAAGAATAACTCATTTTTACATATATTTAATCTTAATAACTAAAAAATATACTGACAATTAGTTTGACAGAATTGTCACTCACATAAAATTTTTAAAAATAATAGTAGCCGAGTGGCCAAAATATGAACTGTAATTGGTGGATTTAATTTTTTTGCAGTGTTTATACTAGGTAAAATGGATATAAAATATATTCTTTAAGTTAAACGCAATGGCATACTTCTTCGTTCTGTAATCTTTGGGTAGATAAGCTACTACTCATGTGAGTGTAGAAAAAAATGTATTCATACTTATTTTTTACAGAATCTACAGAATGAATATGTAACTACATATCAGTCTATTAAACAAATAAAACGTGTATTTATTCTATATTGTGTACATTGTGTGTCGGATCGATGGCGTAGGTGTCTAACGCGCTCGTATTTATTTGCAAGCAATTTAGTGGTTCAGAGGCAGCTTTAAATCCTACAGAAGACCATGTGAATTTATTTGCATGGTTCTCTATAGAATTTGATGAATGTCGTATTAGCAGAAATTTCTGTTGAAATGATATCCAGATTATTAAAATAGCCATGCGTTATCGTTGCGAAGATGGTGTAAGTCAAATGGCACCATCAATTAAGGCTGTCAATTCCTGAAGTGATAAACGGTTAACCGGTCCGACTGATTTTGACCGGTTTCGGTTTTAACCAGATTTTTACATTATTTTAACCGGTCCGGATATTCGGTTAACCGGTCCGATTATCCGGTTAACTGGTCCGATCAAACCGAGCCAGTCGAAAAGGACCGGTTAGACCGGATTCGGCGATGGATAAGTAGGTAAAACTAAAAAACAAAAACATAAATTATATTCAAGTAAAAAAATCAACTTATCAACGTTTTCCAGCAGCAAGCAGTTTCTTTTCGCCAAAACTATGTTTCCTGCACTGGAAAACACCCGTTCACCCACACGGATATTATACATATATTCTAAGCACAGACTACAAAACCTAAAAGTAGGCCATTACATTCTACTG